TCCCCAATAAATGACAGGAATTATTTTGCACTTACTGACTACATTATTTTTCTCAATTAATCATGTATTGCTGTATATTGTTGCTGTTCCATTAAGAATGTCTTAGCCCAGTCACCCTTCTCACAAATCTCGCCAGACATGGCATTACATATAGTGATGTTTATTGAGTAAATGACCACTAAATTTTTCCATTGAGTAAGCAAAAAATGTATGATGTATCTAAGCCTTATATTTTTTGTCTTCTGATCCATTGTTTTTTTATTCTAATTTTATAACAACTACCACGTTTCATATATTTTACTACAAAAGAATTAGTAACTAGCTTATTTTCCTCCAGGAAAATTAAAGTAGCCAATATAACTTTAGGTAAACATATGACCCCCTTAACCTTTTCCTGTATGGTCAAACTACTGAAAAATGTGACCTTTTTTTAAAAAAAAAAGTAAATCCACCTTTATTTGAAAAACATGCTATTTAAGCAAAAGAAAGTGCTTAACTTTGAGCTTCAAGGAAGCTGGAACACTTCTTTTGCATTCTCTTGAAGCCATTCGGCTGGAACACCTGCCATCCGGTTAGAGAGCAGTGATCTAACCTAGAAGGAAAGCAATAGGAAGAAAAAAAGTAAGGATAACAAGCAAGCCTTTTCCTGGAAGCAAAGAAGGAAGGATAAAAGCAAAGCACACTAAAGGATTTGGGAACTGGTATACTTGTTTTATTTCAGGTTGGAATAAGTGAAAGGTGGCTATGCAATGCTCAGGACTGCCTGAGCTAAAAATAGCTCAAAATGTGTGTTATTTTACATCAAGTCTTCATTTATGCAAGTAAAACAAAACAAAAAGCACATACTTCTCTAACATGGCCACAGAAGGTTTTCATCTACTTTTTGACATAGAAATGTTGGACTCGATCTGGAAAGGAAGAAATTCAATCACTGTCATTCCAAACTGTTCTTTCTGATGGAAAGATGCCTCACTAGAACAACAGTGATAAAATAGAAATGTCTGGCTGTCTTTTTTCACCTCTCCAACACCCTGTGATTCATAGGCTCAGTGCTGGCAGAATTGCAGATGTGTCCAAGACATTGTGTTTATTAATTGCTTCTTAATGCAAAACATCTCTTTTTCCCTCCAGCATTGTGGTGATCAATGTGCACTTTGATATGAAAAATGATTTTTGTGGTTATTGTGATGATCCTTTCATAAAAGTCAGTTCTCTACTAAGCATTCAAAAGCAATCTGCTTGATTTTGCCACACACAGTTCCTTGATTTGCTATAACTAGACACAAACATTTTCATTAAAGAGACAAAAATAGTCTGAAGTGCAGAACCAAATGCTGAATTAATTAAACACACATGCAAAAATCCTCAAATGTTAGATCTCTAGGAATAGATTCAACTCCAAATCCCCACATGTTAAATAAGGCAGATGAACTACTTTAAAGAGATGCTGAAACACTGACCAACATAAATAGCAATTCTTAAGAAACAAACCTAGCTTTTGGTCCTTAGTATGCTTGTTTCACACTCACTTTATTAAAAAGTTGAGAGATGGAACTGCCAAGCATATACATAAATGAATAGGAATGCTGTGCTAATAATTTCCAGCAGACGTCATCATTTCGTTTCCCGATGCAGGCAACGCTCACTGTGAATGCTACTTCACTCTTGTTAAACCACTTTGGAATAATCGATTTATTCCCAAAGACAAATTATCCAAGTCAGTTCTCTTAACCTGCTTGTAGATTGGTACTTATCATTACAGGTTATATCAGGTTCTGCACTATTGTCTGTTTTATTGGTTAAAATTTTTTTTTTAACTTTGCTTGCCAGTGACAATTTTCTCTTAATTTAGGAATTCCTATTTCTTACAGAGGCCAGCTGGAAATGAGGAAAGCATTACAGAGCCTTCCTTAGCTGTTGGCCTGGAGAATACACACTCTCTCCAAAATATATATCTTTGGCACAGTCCAGAGGGAAGGAATCTCGGGTAATCTCTTAGCTGGCCAAGTGTGAGAATTATTATTTTTAACCCCTAAGCACACTGAACTGTGTTGGTTTATTTTTTTTTTTTAAGGAATTCAAAATCAAACCAGTGCTGTTAGCTTAGTTATATTTCTTATCCAACAAAACTCTAAATAAATACCTTAAATACCAATTTTGCTATTGGGTTTTCTACCCCTTTGGTATAATGTTTAAGAGGACATTTTAGCTTGAAGAGTTTTAGATTTTAACATTCAGATTAACCAGCATTAACCGGCAGATTAGTTCCATAAACTCTCTGGCAAAACTAGATTATTTAACCTAAGTCTAGAAATGTATTTATACCATAATGTCCCATTTGGTTCCCCATTATAAGTCATTGAAATATTCAGAGTAACAAACTAGCACCAAAGCAGTCTTTATGTGACTATTCTGAATTCCTTAAAGGAAAAGCAGAAACTAACACTTAAGCAATAAATTTAAAGTTTGGTATTTTATCTAGAATTTCAATACCTAAGACTAGATATGAGGTGTCTATTTTAGCTATATGTTTAAAATCGCATATTCAGAATAGATTTACCTGATCTCAGAACCCATGAGCACAGAAGCACCACGAAACCCAGATATCAGTGGAAAGAATGTCTTCTACCTAAATAAGAGAGCTGTTAAGAGATATTTATAGATATCTCATTTAAAAAGCCTTCTTTACTGAAATTAAGTTGCCCAGAAGTTCTTAGATTATTTCTTGAACGAGAAGATAACCATGTTCTTTGTTGAGTTTGAGAAAAATAATACATAGATTATACCATGAGCCATTATGGAAATCCCTACATGATATGTGAATTTTCAATTGACAGAAAGATACATTTTTATGTTTTGCAGAAGTAGATTCAACTGGTACTATGGACAAACTTTGAGAGCCTCCTAAAATCATGGTGACCCTTCTCTTTCATTTGAATACTTTATAAATTTGTAGATGGCTAGCCTTTTTCTTCGAATTAAACTTGTATTCATTTCAATATATTACAGAGCAAATTTGCTATCCACTAGTATTTAATGAATTTATGTCACTAAGCATAGTACTGTTCATAGAAACTCTGGAGAACAGTACATGTAGATAATTTTCAAATGATGCAAATTATTGATAAACATTCAAATATACCATAAAAGCAATACTTCTACATAAAATAATGAAAATTTAGCAACAGAGTACACTCATATATGTAGTATTTGATCCTTCAAAAATGTCAGGAGTGAAATTCCATGGTCACTTTTAAACAATGGAAATGGTTATAAGGTTCTATTACATAGTGTGTATATGTATTACATATATAGATAGATAATAGAATTTTAAAAGAGGATAAATCCTTCTTGTTGACTTGCTAACATATTTATCTGTGGTTCTTATTACTAAACTATTTCTCTCATCATTTTAATAAACTGACTGAATTATTGAGAAAGTTTCCCTTATCATGTTTAGTATTTGACATGCAAGCTACAGTGTAGACATAATTTAATACAGTCTTAGAAATTATCACTAATGTCCCAGGGCAAGAAAGGATTTATTCCATCATAAGGGAAATCTATGGGCATATTATCAACAGATATTACTCACACATACCCACGGGTAGGGAAAGAAGGTCATAATTTTCTCAGGTAGATTGAAATGATGACTACCACTAAGTTGATATAACAACTTTCATTTTAAGAGACTTCAGGGCTCATTTTTTTGGTGGGCAAGAGGGATTACCAGCATCAATTTTCCTTGTACTTTGTTGTCTCTATAACTTCAAAATCATGTGAGCAATTTTCTAAGCTGCTTAAGATTGTTCTAAAGATTACTGTTTCCTTTTTATTCTAGTAAGCCTGGGACATCACAGTTGTGCTTCCTGTTCAAAATTAAAGGCTCTTACTTCATGGAATTGATTCATGAGGTGCTTTGATTAAAAGGTCCTTGAGGGCAGTGTTAAACTGGAGAGCAGAATATTTGTCAGACGGTATGAGTCTCTCTTTTTAAAATACTCTAGTCAGGAAATTTTCCTTGTAAAAGAAATACCAATTGCAAGTTACTGGTACACCCTGTGTTTCTTTACCAGTTGCTGACAAAAATTAATGTTGACATTTTAGCATTTTGACCTTCAGTGGGAGTCAGTAGTGCTGGCTTGTCCCAAATATATTTTAAATTTATTTGGTACGTGTGTGAAGAGCAAGATTTAAAATGTATTAGAAAAAAAAAAACGTTGAGAAGGCAGACAGGCAGGAAAGAGAGAAGAGAGGAAGCCATTGAAATTGATCTGAGATCTGTAGAAACGCAGTGGAAAGAACGTCTTGTTTGGAATCAAAAGACTTGCATGTGAGGTTTGTGTTTCCTTCAGATGAAGCAGGTCTGTGCCACCTTCTCCATGAATTCTTCCTGACCAACCCATTTGAAATGCAAACCTCCCACCCAGAGCTCCCCAGCCCTTCCAGCTTTCATGTTCTCCCTACCGCCTGTCAGTATCTCAGATACAATGGATTGTAGTTCTTCACCTCCTTGCTCCTCACTATTAGGATGCCAGCTCCTTGAGGGTGTGTGTTGCTGCTATTTTGTGTACTACCAACCACATCCTGGTCCCAGAACAAGGGTTTAGCACATTGTAGACTTGTGGTAAATATTTGTTGCATGAATGAGTGAAGTAATCTCTATGAGCCTCACTCTTCATTTGTAAAGTTATTAGGGTTATGAGCAAGATTAACGCAGACGTTCTGTGTAATAGCATATTAGATAGTACCTGGAGTGTAATAGGTATTTCATATGTCCATTCATTTGTATTTGTCATTCAATACATTGATCTGCCAGTGAGTTATCTAGAGATAGGGAGACGGTGTGTCCAGGTGACCCGGGACTGTCCCAGTGTATGCCTGTCAGTCTAGGAATAGTTATTGTCAGCAACTTTGTTCACAAGTGCCCTGTTTTGGATGATGAATTATATGGTCACCCTATAATCAAAAGATAAATCATGCATGTGAATTGTCCTTGGGGCAACAGAGTTTATTTCATACCCGTAACTTGAGTCATAGCCAAACAAAACAAAAAAGACCTTCTGATTCATTAACGTTTAGGTTAACAGTAAGATATGAGGATTAGAGGTTAATTGGGCAGAACAGAGGAAAAGAAGAGATTTCTGACTGGTACTATGAAGAGGAGTATCAGCAGTCTTCTAGTTTCAAGTAATGCCTTAGGCATCCAGTCTCTCAATTCAGCAGACGGGTGCTCAAACTCCACCTGCACCGCTTCTCAGCTGTAAAGCTTTGGGTGATGCGTTTCACTTCTTTGAGCCTCTATTTTCTCATCTGTGTAAAAGCAATAATAATAGTACTCAGGGGCTTCATGTGAGATATTAAAAATACATATAACCTCTAACACAGTTCCTGGTATGTAATAAATACTAAGTCAGTGCTGGCTACTGTCAGTACTGAATGGAGTAAGAGCTTTCAGAAGTAGCAGTATTGGTTTTCTTTGACCAGTAAAGCAGCGAACCATGGTTCTATAATGCCACCGATTATTTAAAATGTTTAACAATTGGCAAGAAGTGGATGGTATTGCCCAGCTTCCATAGTGCTTAGTAATCTGTTTCTGACTGCATCTATTTTGTAACATTGTAGTTTGTTAATAAAATTTATTGAATTAAGTGTCAGCTCCATAGTTGAATAATTTCTGCCATTTTTATTTTCTGCATAGGATCTTGAACATAATGTGTAATCAATAAATATTTGAAAAGCCAATAAATGAATATTCTGAGACATTCAAGGAAACTATAAGTCTGAGACTTTTTTTAACAACAGCTGCGGCTGGCTCAGTGAATAATTAGATAAATGATATTAAGAGTCTTTACTGTTATGTAGCTTCACCACCGAAAAACTGCCAGACTGCAATAACTTTTAATAGTAAGGTATTTGGAATTTTTACTTTCATAGTAATTTAGACAAACTATACCTATAATCTACTGCAATGGCTTGGTTAACAAAAATGAAAAAAAATTTATCTAGCAACTAGGTAAATTAGTTGCTAGAATTAGATCCTGGGTCTCCTCATTCCAAGGCTAGAGTTAGTTTGGCTTTTTCATGTAATGTCTGTTTTTAATCATAATGACATGATTTGAGAAAATATCCAATTAATAGTATTTTTCATAATAAAGTAAGAACTAGGTTAGGAGATAATGTGGGATTTCAATTGTTCCCATTTCAAACATTTGTTCATTTTCCTCACATTTGTAATAAAATTTTTATCAAGATACATTTTATAAAGAAAATAATTACTAGTAAGAGCTTGATACTTTTACTGTAAAAGTATTCAACAATTAGATTCTAAGGCTATTATGCTATTCAATTTCATAATGAAGCTTATTCTATTAGTTTCAAAGACAGAAATGATAGAGTTTTAATTAAGTAGATTATAGAATTTCCATTATATCCTGAATACTATTTTTGTTTCCAGATTATTCCCAAATAGTTACAAAACTTCATTGCATAGGAAATGCAAGTAACATATTTTAAGCTTTTCAAATTTTTATGAAAGGCACTATTCAGCCATTATCTGCTAAAATTTTGTATTCTGAGTTACCATGTATCTATAATTACTTTATTTCTTTTTTTATAGTCCTGAGAAATGATGTATTCCGTCGGTCTGCCCATGTCCTTTGGAGGTGATGTAATGTTAGTTGACAGTATCAGGAATAGCCTGTGACTGATTACTGGTTGTATTTGACATGTGATTGAGAATTTTATCTTTGGCATCAGAATGAGTTCATCTATTATAAAACCTCTTACTATTCTTTTGGTTTCTTCTCAAGTATTGTGATTAATTTCAAGATCTACAGAAACTTTAGGAATAGATACTAGAATGATATTTTTCCATGTTAATTTAATGCCTTAAAAGGTTTTGGTTCAGCTATTTTGAATTTTCCTAAAACACTCTTCTGAGAGGCATGATGTCTTTACATAATTATATTAATCTTATACAGTGGTATTAAGATGTTCTCAAGGGGAAAAGACCATGTCAAACAGTTGCTCCTCTTAGAATAGTTTTAAGTTGTAATAAAGCTTAAACTGAACTGGAAACATTCAGATCCTATACAAGTTCATGAGGAAAAAAACAAATTTAAAAGCATCTAACATCTCAGTTGTTCGTTAATCTGTTATTTGCAGTAAACTAAGGATTCATCAGATACAAAAGTATTAGGTAGAAATTTTTACTGACTAAAACTTAGATCAGTTATCTGTAAATTTATGTTAATGACATGCACATAAAATCCCATTATTCTTACTAGTAATTACTAGTAAGCTGTTTTCATACCTGACATACAAGCTGTTTTCCTGAAGTTGACATGACAGTGAGCTTAATTTCAAAAGATTTATCATCTGTCCTAAGAGACCAACTAGAGTCATTAAAAGGTATTAATCAAAGATAGGGAGCAACAAAAATTGGCGTATGTTAAATACAAAACACAGACCAATGACCAGTAGTTTCCAAGCTCAGGCTGGGTAACAGAATGTCCCAGATAGTTTTTTAAAAAATGCATATTCCCAGACCTCATCTGAGTTTATTTACCAAGAAATTCTAGGCCTTAAAATCTATAATTTAAAAAAAACAATTCCCCAAGTGGTTCTAAGGGATAGCTTCAGATGTATGGGTATATGGTTTTAAAACACAAGTGTTGCCGAAATATGCATACATAATTGAAATAACTGTGCAACACTTCATGGAGGCAGTGGACTTGAGATTGTGATTTGAAAAGAGGCAAGGCATTGGGAAAGGAGTAATACCATGAATACAGTTGTCATGGGGGAATAAAAACTGCATGGATATGATTGGTCTGTAACAGAACAAATGATTCCTCAGTCAGAGAGCTGGAAAATAATATTGAGGAGGGAGATAAATGCCAGCCAGGAAGGAGATTCTGGGTTACTGGGCTTTATCTTGTTGGAACTCAATAACCAAAGATTTTTATCCAAGGAGATTGCACACGTAAAGCAATTTAGAGAGAATATATATTCAGTGTTACTATGTGACATTGATTGGAAGGCACGAGCTAAAGACAAAGCAGACAGTAGTGGACTAGGCTTGATGTGATAAGGGTTTGCATAGAATGCGTCTTGTGCAAATGAAAGTAAGAGCTGGGACCCATGGTAATGGCAGAGGAAGAGTGGACGGCAAAGAGAGTGCAATCCTAATTAAGCCCTGGTAAAGTAAATAGCAAGGGGGAAGTTTTTCAAACTATATGCCTGTGTATCTGAAAAAGGACAGTCAGAAAGTATTTACCAATTTTCAATTACAATACAGCAAGATCCTCTCTTCAAATAATTCTAAGTTCTTGAAAACTGTTCAGCCAAGTATCACTGCATCTTTACTATATAGGCAAGAATATGCTAAAAAATAAATCATTAGTTTTGGAAATGCAAGCACATCCTGTCTTTCACATGTAATTTTGATGCCATAAAGTAGTTGTATTTTCTCAGTGATATAAGCACCAGCTTATTTGTGTAACAAATTAAATCTAGTGATATTTTTGGACCCATGAGACTTATCTAATAAAGACCATTGTATGTCACATATGTTCTTTGCAAAATGTCTTACACATGAAGACAAACTACATTTAGCTGAAAGACAAGGAATCTGTTAAAAAGGCATTTTATTAGAAAAATCCAGGTTGCCAGATATTTTTATTTGGAAAATACTGGATGGCATGTGATTTGCCAAGAAATAGCAGCTCTTCCAATAACACATGAGGGGCTAAGCCATGTTGATATTGTTGATAAGCCTCCGCAGGCTGGAACAAGTGAAGCCGAGGAGTAAATTGAAAGCCGCTAGGGAAGATCCGGCCCCCGAGTTGGGCACATGCTAACTCTTGAGCATCAGTGACTAAATTAAAGAATAACGAATCAATTATTTGTGGCAAACAAGACATTAGAACTTTAAAAACTGTCTGCCCTAGTGCATTACAGGTCTCATTCATTCTCTCCCCCTCCAAGTCGGACTGTTCAGCTCTTTTTAGCCTTCTGCACTCACCTGTGTCCTTCATGGCCCTGAGTTCTGTTTCAGTTTGAACAGACCCTCTGAACAGCATCGCGTCCAAGCGTCAAAGTTTCTGACCCATGTTTTGCAACTCTGGATGTTGTGGCTCATGTTCACTTTGTAGGAAATAGCAAATAGGACTTCCAACACACCTTGTGTCTCTCCTAGTGCTCAATCACCTGTGGCAAAGGAATGCAGTCTCGCGTTATCCAGTGCATGCATAAGATCACAGGAAGACATGGAAATGAATGTTTTTCTTCAGAAAAACCTGCAGCATACAGGCCATGCCACCTTCAGCCCTGCAATGAGAAGATTAACGTAAACACCATAACATCACCCAGGCTGGGTAAGCAGACCAGAAAAGGAATGGTTTTGAGAAACCTAAAAATACTCTTGGCTACTTCGGTTTTGCATATCACTTTAAAGCTTAGTTATAAACCTATACTAATTCGTTTGCTTCTGACTAAACTGGATTTATTTACCTAGCTTAGTCCATGGCCAGGTGGGTAAAAAATCCTAGACTAAACTGTTTTGATTCCTGGAGCTGTCTACTCAGAGTCAGGCCCAGAAGGATGAATGCCACCCCACCCAAGGTCATCTTAGAAAGCGTTGAAGGCTGTAAACATATTTGGGGTTCTGACCAGTCCCGTAGCAGAACTATCAATTAAGGTGATGTCTGTGGAAAGGTGAGGTGTAGCATATACCTTAGATCACTCCCTTGTTAATAGCCTTCCATGTGGTTCTGCATACAAATTGTCCTTTAGAGAGACATAGAGTGGCTTTCAAGAAGAATGGGTACATGGATGTACACAGACAAAAAGAGGTGACTTTTTTTATCTTTAAAGATATAATATTAAATACAAATAAATGCTAGCCACATACTGATTTATGTAGTTATTTTATATTACAAAATGCTTTCATTTTTATTCTCTGTTCCACATTTCCAACTTCAAGTAAATATAACCTGCAGTTGTGTAAGAAGTATTCACTAGTGAATTGGCCTTTATTTCTGTGGCAATTTATGGCTTTCCACAGCACTGCCCTATGGCTCTTGTTGGGTTAATTGATGTTTAACATCTTCAGTTTTAATCTGGGCATTTAATCTTCCGGGGAACAATCTAATCATGCAGAATAATATTGCCCAAATGCAAGAAGCTAGCTTGTCATAGATAGTTCCCCAGGAATAAGATTCAATCAAATGGAAACCTTTGGTTTTCAAGGAAATACAAAAATTCTCTTCTTCAAGCCAAATAATTAACATTTCTAAGAAATGATCAGTTCAAGTAGAATTAAGACTAGTTAAGACAAAAAGTTAAGCAATACTAAAGCAGATGCACTAAATCCATGTGTTCAAAACCAGCATAAACCCTTTCTCCAACAATTACTTGGAGTCCTTTGACGGGGTATCGTGTGTCAGAAAATAGTAGATTGAAAGAAGAATTTAATTAAATTGCATTTTCTTTGTTTATTATTTTTTGACGGTATATCCCAACACAGATGCACAGTGGTTGGAAAAAATCTAAGGTTTTTAAAAGTAAAAAAGTGAGTCATATAGTGAAGTGGCCAAAGAAAGAACTGCAGCAGAACTGATTTTTATTGGACATGACCACACTATTTCTTTAGAATAACTGAGGCCAAATCTACCTGACCAAGTTTTCTATACCAAATTCTCATTCCAAACACTTCATTTTCAGTCCCTATAAATTTCAGTCACTTTTGATCATCAGCTTTGATTTTAAAGATGCCTGAAACTATAATCCCCAGATAGCCCCCCTAGACATGTTTGCCCACTAGGAAACAAGAAATGTGAAGTAAGTGTGAGCATATATTTATTTTGCTATTTCTTTGCACTTCTATCCATAACAACACTTACTGATTGGTTTTCCCCAGAAAGGTAGACATCGAGCGTACAGCCATTTTTCTTTTAAGTCTTCTCAGCTACAACCCAGAAGAAACATAATCAAAGCCCTAAAACTGAACCTTCAAAGTCATTGGCTGTGCATATCATTGCATTTGGGAAGTCTATCGTTAATAAATCTAAAAAAGCTTACAAATAAAGCCATTTTCATCCACCTTCGTCCTTTGCTATAGGTTGTTTGTGTGTATGTGTGTGTGTTTCTTTATCTCTGTCTTTTAAGTTCCAGGAGGTAACGTAAATGAGGCAGAGTCACTATATAAAATGCCCCCATTTAGATAGCTGCCATCTGTTTCTGCACCTGGCACTTAGGGTATCTCTATGTATTGAGCACCCTGTGTTCTGCTTCACAGCTGCTCTGACTTTCAAGTGCCTGGGAGATCAGTGGCCTGTGTACTGCCGAGTGATACGTGAGAAGAACCTGTGTCAGGACATGAGATGGTATCAACGCTGCTGTGAGACGTGCAGGGACTTCTATGCCCAAAAGCTGCAGCGGAAGAGTTGACCTCTAGCAGGCTGGCTCTTGGCAATTACATTATTTATAAACACACCCGCTAGCATGTTCTTCAGACCAAATATTATCAGATTACATATAATTTAATCAAACTAATTTATTTTTTATTTTTTTGCCTACCAAGTATCCACTGTGGTGTTTCTTTTGGTTATACAAACATGTTGATTTATACTACATGGCTTCGTCAATAGTTTTCTATGAGTAAGTTGGATCCAGTTTCCAGAATAAAAATTAAAAGGGGAGAAAAGAAATCCATGGTCATTGGGCTTTAAAAAAAAGTTTTTTTTTTTAGTTAGGGCTGTTTCTAAGGTGCTATTCTCTCCCCCTCCAATACCCTTGTGTTATCCAGAATAAATACTAATTTTGTGTAATAGCTTAGTTAAAGAAGGAGAGAAATCATTTTTGTTTGTTGGTGTCATGATGCAGAATTAACCCATTTTCTGTAATCTGCAGGAGATGTGTAGACATGACAAACCTCATAGTGTTGAACAGGTTCTTTAGAGAATGTATTATGAATTTGGTTCAGATTTAGAGATTTCCGTAGGAAAAATTCTACTGTAATTATAATCTTATTTTAATAGTGGCAAAGAAAAGTCAAAATAGAGACTTTGATCATGTTCATGAATATGTACTTGAACACAAGTATTGTAACAATGAAACACTGTAATGATTTACACTGAATCACCATTGCACTGTTTATATAGTGTAGAGAAACCATTATAGAAATGGTAACATCCTACAGAAATGTGTATTATTTTAACATGTTGTCCTTAGATTTTAGCTTTTTAAAATATTTTGAACAAAGAAAGCATTGCTCCACCCATTTCCTTGTATCTTTTTAGCAGATTTATAAAAGAGTATAGTACTTAGCCTCACAAATCAAGAGAAAATTTACTTCATATTTTTCAGCCTTTTCCCTAGAAAAGAGGAAAAACAAAAAAGCTTAGGATACTGTTGTAGTGTCATTGTGGTGTTTTTTCCTTTTCAAAATGAGAAAGTTTTACAATTCTGTGAAACGTTATAAAACCAGCTTAAATGTTTTCTTGTGAAAAAATATTGTACATGATTCACATGATTTCTTAGATTTTTTCAATAAAATGCGTGAAACTTCCTGTGGGGAGGCAATTCTTCATAGGGCTGCCCTGTCACCCCCGTCCTGTTACCACCTGCTTGTGTTTGGGGGTATCTTCTAAGGGATGTTTGGGTAGAGAACAGCCTTCAAAGACAAAGATCATGTTTCTCTTTGGAGCAAGGGGCAGACACACTTCTCATTATAAAAGCATCAGGTTCTCTAAAATTGGGATGTCTCGTGAAATACAATCCACTGCATGTACAGGTGTCACCTGGCTCGTTTTGTGTCATGCTGTGGGAATTGGGGCTCAAGGAACTGGTGCGAGAAGATGCTGATTATCTGGCTACTGCTGTTGCTGTGAGTAATGAAGTCCTATATCTGCAGCCCAGGAGTCTTAACATCTCCTGTCCTGAAGGGGTGGTAAGCGATCTGGATAAGTTTCAAGTAGAGTAAAACCATAGAGTCATCAAGTTCTTGACCCTTCCCTCAGTATTTCTCACCTTAATTTTAATTTGGGGAACATTTTGTTTCTGCATTCCCCCTATTCTGGATAACCTTTCTTCTAATTGCTGAGATAGAGAATTAACCTGTATCGACTTTTATGTAAGATGGTGGGGAAATGGGAGAGGGGAAAAATTACATAGCAAGAGGAGACATTCTCAGTTCCATCCCTTGATCCCTGAATCCATGAACCTAGGTAGAAATATCACCATGTATTAGTCAATGAGTCAGACCACATACATCTTAGAGGACCTCCAAAATGTTTCCCCCAGCTGGTGCCAGACTAAATATTTTTTTAAAAAGACCCTGCATCATTCTGTTAGGGTGTCTGCTTCTGGGTGATAGGGAATGAGGTAATAGCAGAGATTTAGGTGTCCATGAGCCCATTGCCACATTTTGTTTACTGGAACATGAGATCCCTGGACAGGAACAGTGCTGTGTGGAGTATCATCAGAGTGAATGAGGCATTTGGTAAGTTCATGGGTGGTATTTGGCAGAAACTTTGCAGACTGGGGAGGCAAATTTATATTCAGGGTAAGCGGCTATTTTTATGAAAACAAACCGCTGCCTTTTTGTGATAGAAATGATCTAATGTAATCACACTGCAATCAAGGTGACCTGGACTGACCAGTACTTGGAAGGAACATGGTTTGAACGTGGTGATGAGGGAGTTCTGAGAAAAAGGTAGGTGGATAGACCTCCTTGAATAACATATATTCCATCTGACCTCTCACCAAAGAGCACCCTCTGGAGAGAGGGCTCAGTCATCAGGTGGATAAGATGGCAATTTCTGTGTATGCCAGTCAGTCTCTTTCATCGGCCGCTTTCATCCTTGCCCTGTGGGCCCAGAAGCAAAGAGACGGTGGTGGCAGGAGTGGAGATGATGCATGGATTCAGCTGCGAGAATTTCCACTCGCAAAGGCCGCTGTAGCTGCAGTCAGCCCTGAGATGTCAGGCAAACAGTAGCAGAGTCGAGAAGCATTTCCTGGCATGGCACCAGCCCACCACCCTGAGGCCTCACCAGCCCACCTGAGCAGCCAGGCACAGCCAGGTAAGTCTGACCCGGAAGGAGTAATTTGTTCAAATGTCTATGGGATGCTGTAGCCTCTGCGTAGCTTCCTTCTTTGTAAGTCCACAGCCAAAGTCTGGAAGTGGATCTCAGTGTGCTATTGGTCAACAGGACCAACAGTTAAAAAGAAGAAATAGGCACGGAGCTCAAGAGAACCAAGGCAGTCTGGCCCCTGCCAAGCCCCAGTGTCACTGTCACTGCGTCTGATTGCAAAAGGCTTACGGTTCATTGGATGCTGTCTCCATTTTGCCTTCCAAATCTCATGGAGGTTCCTCGCTTGGCCAGTTTTAACCTACAATCACACAAAGAAGGGGATTCTGGAAAATGCAGTTTGCTTTTTTAACTATAGAGAGCTAAGAAGAGTTTAATTTTCTTCTTTTTCAGTTTGCTTTATATCAGGGACAATTAAATGAAAATCCATGTTCTGATCCACTCTTAGAGTAACCATAACACTTTTTAATCACTTAACATATGCTAAGCATTCTGTTAACCATGATATCTATTAAACCTCTCCTCAGACCTCGTAAGATATTCTCAGTATAGTACCTCATAGTAAAGGAGACTGAGGTTCAGGGAGAGTCATCAATTTACCCAGGAACATAATTTAGTTGAAGGTGTTAGAACCACTCTGGCTCCATATTCTGTTCGGTCAGCTCCCCTATTTCAGTCTCCCTTGTTTACCAATTTTGAAAACATTTTATAATTGATATATAAGGTTTTATAACTTAATCACAGGCTTTCTTTATAATCAAAACTATCCAAGTAATTTTCGAACTCACATAATTTGATGCACTCCAAATGCTCATCTGGACATTGTACAGGCTTTTCAGCTGGAAATACTTTTAGATATTTCACTTGGTTATCGGTACAATCTAGGAATAAAGGAAGGGTGGGAGAAAAGAGAGGAGAGAAGAAAAAAACAAGATTGATATGTTTTGCTAGTAAACCATATTTAATTCTATTTTTAACAGCTCTCATGTTTCAAAAGGCAATAATTCTGGGTCCAAATCCAAGGGGAAATGATACTTTCATAAAAATTTTCCATCAAGGAACAGAGAAAATGATTACCTGCATGATAAAGGTTGAGAAGCCCCAGATATCCACATTTCCTCCAGGTTGTCCCTGCAATATAACTGTTTATTTATATTTATTTACACCCTTTGTTACATAAAATGTAACAAAGGACAGTAACAAAAAAAAAAAACCACCCTAAGCCAATATTTTTCCACTTATTTGCAGGTAAATTTTTTGAAGAGATAAAAGAAAAACAATGAAATGGGTGCTACGTGGTCAAATAAGTATGGAAATGCTAGAGTTAACAAAGCAGAACCTCTTGGTCTTCAGTGTGAGTTTGTTCATGACAAACTACCAGAAGAGAACACAGAGTATGTCATAAACATTTTGGCAGTTGAATCCTTTTTTCAATAGGAATAGTCAATTGGAAAACAGAGCTCTAAGACACTTTTTAAAAATCAAATTTAATTGGATTATCAATTTCCAACCAGAGTGAAGCTCCTCTTAGGGCACTGGAAGAGGCAAGAGCCATCCTTCTGCACTGAGCAGTGAGCTTCATGAGGTCATCAGACATGACTCGTAGGGAAGGAAGAATCCAGCAGGTATGCTCTTTTGTAATGTATCATCCAGTGTGGTGCCCAGAAAAGAAAGTATGAGACATCATCAAACAAAAGATAGTAAGACGAGAGTATACACAAATCACTCTAAGATTTCAAAGGATGAAAAAATCATACATACTAGGAAAATATGTAGAGGTTTTGTGAAAGGCTGTATGTATCAACCAGGTGAGCTATAATCAGAATGGGAGAGAGGATAGGCTCCACTATGGAAGTTCTTGTTGAAAAATGGAGGCATTCAGATTGCAGGCAAAACGCAGGCCTCTGACTAGGGCACAAAGTGAAGGAAAAGAGTAAGGTAAACAAGGATTTTTTAAGTCATCTGCCCTTCTGCACAAATCATCCCAATTTTATTTCAATATTTTAGCTTTTCTAAGACTACAAAGTTGAAACTGGTAGCACTGTGATGGAAGGATTGTATCTCCACCGCCAGAACCCTCCCAGCTCCTGACATTGCTCTTCCAGCAGTGCCCTGGGAAGTGTGAAGCTGGTTCACTGACCCCTGAGGCTGGCCATGGAAACTGGCTGACTTGAAGTCCACTGAGACTAGAGAGGCAGAGAGAGAGCTGCAAGCCTTTGCAACAGTCCACATGAGAAATAATGGCGCCTGAAGTGGGTTTACAACAACAGAGATTCCACATTCACCAGATATTCATTGCATGCCCACTAGATGCCAGGGATAGCCACGGGATCTGTAGCACTGAAAAACAGCAGGTGACATAGAAGACACATTTATTTTAATGCATGGACAGTAGAGTATACAGGGGACTTATTGGGCATAGAAGATGATGTGGAGTTGAAGACAGTTCTGTAGGGCTGAAAGAAAGATGAGGCTGGTGAAAGAAACAGAGACATGGGGAGTAGAAGCCAGTGTGGGGAAGAACATATTGGGTCCTTTCTTCGGGAGGTCAAACTGTGCCAAGGTTTCTGCACGCCACCACGCTGTAGTCCTCTACGGAGGAGACCAGCAGGCTAAGGTCTCAGCATGTAAGCCAAGAAGCATCTAGTCTCTTAGTCTTACTCCACCTTCCATGGAAGTCAGCTTCTGAATTCCCCAAAAAACTCACCAAACATATTTATCCCTGCTGGGCCCACAAAAATCAAACTTCTAAGGCTCATCTAAAGCAAGGAATTCTGATTTTCTTTCAACTCACTAACCTGATTGACATGCACTCTTCATGAAATGTAAGAGACACTCAATTGGTTAAAACGTGGCAGAAACACTCCTGTGTTTCTGACCCCCAATGTGAACAATTTAATCAAGAAATCATGCAGGCCCTACTAATGAATTCTGACAGAGACCTACAGATTGGAGCTGCAGGGATTCCTGGTCAGCCCAGAGGTCAACAGCCGGGGTTGGGAAGAAATGTTTCCAGGCAAGGATTGGCATCAACAGAGGCACAGGATTGGAGCAGGTTGGGGAGGGACGGTGGGGGTGCGGGGGGGTGGCCAGTAGCAGAAAAGGGAAAAGACGGCCTGAGTTTCTGATGTCAGTTCTGTCAGCTGCCTACAGGGGCAGCAGTGAGAAATTAGAACTGATAGTTTGGAATGAGGGTAGACAAAGAATGGCAAGAAATGGAGAGCCTGAAATTAAACTTGCAAGTGGAAAGAGACAGATGCAAGCCTCTGGGCATCTAGAGCATTGCGGACGATTCTAAAGGAAGGGCGCCTAAGGAAAACGAGGGGTTCATTTCACCTACCTCATACTTTGGCTAAGGAAAAGGCCTAATCAAATATATTTGGATCTAGGTTCTGTGGCTGCAGTTGCCAATATAAAGAGCCAAAGAGAAGAAAGGCTCTTCTTGAAGATGTGTGTTATTCCCCAAAGAATCTTTTAGGAAAAGCAACTAGCCTGAGAAATATTTGTTCATTAGATGTATTCTGGCTGCAGCCAGAGAAAATCCAGAAAATACCAAGCATGTGAACATACACATAATACACTTGATTCTTCAAACACTTGTGATTTAAGTGTTTTCTTACTAACTGTTCTTACACAGGACCTTGTACTTTCTCCAGTAAATGTATTGTTAAAACCACCCAAATATATTCCAAATATTATATGATAGTGACAGAGTTTAGGGCCAAAAAATGCTCTTAGAAAATGTTGATTATGCAGTCCAGTTTAACAACTGTTCAAGGAGGACAGATGAGGTTTTCTTAACACTCTTATCCTTACTGCGGTGAAGAATGTAAGTGCTCTTTAGTCTTGCTCAGTTTGAAATCAGAAACATCCTGGCTGCTGATTCTTATAAGCTATATGGCACTTGTCTGAAATCGGGTGTTGATACACTGCACATGTAACCGCATTACCTCTGCAAGGGAAACCTTCCTGCTGAATCAGATGGATTTCAGAGGTACAAACATACCAACCTGGGTCTAAAAACTGCTGCTGTGTCTCTTCTTCAGCTATAACGAGAGGGATGGTGTCCTCTTTCTCTAGATGGAAATCCATAAGGTAGAGTGGCTGGTGATGAGAGAGGTTATCACCGCTGCAGACATCATCACTTCATGGCATAGCACACCATCCACAGCTTCACTCCCCACCTCGGCTCTCTGAAAAGAGATGGGGGCACTTAGGAGAGCACGTCATCCTCAGAGAGCCTTGCTCCCCTCTGGCTCCAAAGGCACTGTGTGAGCACCAGAATGCATCGCGGGAGTTTATCCAGCTAGAAACAGGCAAAGGGACCTCAGACAGTGAATGGGTCAAGGCAGTAGGTCAGGGCACTAAATCACGGTAGCAAACTATAAAGCAAATTCTTGGGATTTCTGTAAAACAGACTAAAGGTGACAACCCAAACATGGTTAGGTTTCACCCCAGTCTGAGACTCTGGGAGTCAAGACCAGAGAAGAAACAAGATCCAGACTATCTCATGTGAGGCTAGAGAGGCAGGGCCCAGCCAGCCATGTTAGGTCAGCCACATCCAGGAAGGAAAAGTAAGTAGTGTCTCTGTACAGGTGACTACTCAATGTGCTCCAAATTATGAACTGTGACAGTGAGATTCTGGCAGCCTTTATCCAAAGAATAATTCCTCTTAAACTGGCCCTTCTGGCTGTGTGTGGACACATATTTAATATAGGCATTCTACTAAATTTAATGACCATCCCCCACTCTCCCATTTAAACACCCTGAGTGCATGTGTGCAGTGTGTGTGTGTGTGTGTGTGTGTGTGTGTGTGTGTGTGTGTGTGTGTGTGTGTGTGAAAGGTAAGGCAGGATGCTGCATTGTCCCTGTGTGCCGATGGATCATTCCGAGGGTGGCCTCTGAGCACAGCTGACACCTGGTTTCAGATGCCCATAGGAGCGCCCTCAGGCTCATTACTAATGCATGAGTCTCACAGAAGCTGCCTCGCCTGCCTGTTTTTCCAAACCCTTAGATGAAGAGAGACATGGATCTCTCTGTTTTGCCAAATAACAACCATCCTGACAAATTCCTGCAGCTAGATGTGAAGCCTTTAATGCAGAACTCAGCCCTTCTTCAGGCCAGCATGGCGAGGTTTCCAGGGGGGAATCACCCTGCCCCACAGCACTGGCGAAACCTGGTCTACTCACAGGTAAGAGCCGGACCCACGCACACCGCGGCGGGGGCACGTTTCTTTCTATCTACTGTTTCATTATTTGTACAAAAAGAAGTCAGTAGCAACACAGTTCAAGGTAGCTGCTAACTCTTGTAGTATAAAAAGGGTCTAGCTCCCTTCACATACGGAGACGCTCTGATTGCTTTGTCAAAATGTGAGTCCTCCCCTCATTCCTCTCTGCCCAAGAACTAGCTCCTCAGCCTGTCCTTAGTTGAGATGTCATGGAGCCCATCTTTCCTTCGGAATTTTTCAAACCGACTGTTCCATTTGTAAATAAGCTCTGGTGGGGGTGGGGATGGGCGGTCCCTACCTCTCTCATTCGGTGTGTTCTAAACTCAAAGCATCATAAGCTTACACAGGGGGCTTGACCACAGCCTCTGCGACCATTGGAAGCCTTGCTTCCCCCTCATTTAGACCGGCTCCCTTTCATTCTGTGCAGAGAACATGCTGACGGCAAAACAATAAAGACTGAATGATTGAAAGAAAGAAGATAGAGGGAACTTTCCACCTTGGAAAGGTGCTGGCTGTTATTTCTGATAGTCTTATTTTCCATAGGTGTCCATGTGGACAGGACATAGCAATCAGGACCTTCAAACCCATTGCGGACTTTATTTCTTCTTCTGCATCCTCCTCCTCTTTGCTGACCAAAAGGGAAGAGTACAACTGATTAGTTCCATGTGATGGAATAAACATAAAGGCCCTGACTATTTGCACAGCTCATGAAACGGGAATCGTCTTTGTCATGCGACCTGAGAGCTAATGGGGTTAAGGGTTAGTCAATTCAAAAACAGGAAGAAGCATTTCATTTCAGAACAGATGTGACTAACCTACAAACCCCTGCAAGTCATTAAATCCTTTGGAGTGGTTCAAATTCCCTGAGCAGAAATTTGTTTTCTTTTAAGAAACAGTTGCTGCTCATGAGTCCTGGTGTAAAGTGACTCCTTCGTGGTGTTTGTGGGCTCCTTGGGACCTTTATCATGAGATCATTCAAAATCAAGTACACTCGAATGATTATGTAAGTGTTTCCTCCATAAGGCTTTTAATTTATTTCCATTGTAAAGCAGCCTATTATGACAACTGACTTTTTAAAGATTTTGCATCCTTCCCTTTTGTAATCCTCTAAAGCCTTTTTGCCCATCCATACACACGTTCTTGGTTATTGTTTTTGGATTTAGTTGCATTTCATTTAAATGCAATGACATTCATCCTTGTTCTTCTTTACTGTTTATGTCATGGAATAAAATAATTTAAAAATCAGTTTAGAAAACTTTGGCCCTCCTGTGTTGTGAAGTTTAGTCAAAGAAAACATATCCAATACATTCCTTTGAGTTTGGAACATGTCAACCTAACATCTTTTGTCTGATCCTGGACTTGACCTATTTCCTTCAAGTGGAATGTCACAGTTTAAACCTCTTTTGAATGTTGTTCCTAAACCTGAATGAGATGCAAATTTTTAAAGCGCATCTTTTTCAACAAGCCCTGATGAGCTGAAATCATGATTTGAGGAAAAACAAGAGGGTAAAAATCCGCTTCATATGTCTTTGCCTATGTTTTTGGCGATTGTAAATTGCAGATAGACTTGATTTAGCTATAGTTTTACTCTAAAAAGAATCTTAGAGTAAGATTAGTAAGTAATCTAAAAAGTTAGATGACTGAATCAAGGCCAATTTACTATTGAAATAATGCATGGGGAAGGGGACAGTAAATAATTACAGATTCAGCCAGTTGAGTAGGCTTGTCACAGATCATGAGTAAACAACAATTGTATTTACAATCCGAAGTTACAGTTATGTCAATAAGTAAGTCTTCTCTCCTTGGCTGGATCTTAAAATCCAGGAATGGTATGTTCAAAGGATAAAAAATAAGTCTAAAAGAAATGGACATATGAAAGTTTTAAGTAGTTGTGATGATATCTGGAAAAAGGCACCGAATATATCAGGTGTATCGAGGTGTTAGGGGTGCATAAGCAGGCAGCAGTCAAACCATTCTTAATTTAAAACTCTCACTCTGTGTTGTTCATTTTGTTTTGTTTTGTTTTTAGATTCCACAAATAAGTGAAATCATATGGCATTTGTCTTTCTCCGCCTGGCTTGTTTCACTGAGCATAATACCCTCTAGACCGATCTGTGTTGTATTATTATTATTATTATCATCATTTGCCAATAAACTTAAATATGTTGATATTATCCTTTTTTTAGAATTTGGAAGACAGCAAATACTATTTGAATTTATACTGTGGTTGGAGGCACATGTGTGTGTGTGCGTGTGTGTGTGTGTGTGTGTGTGTGTGTGACTGTGTGAGTAGATGGCGGTGTTGGCAGATGCAGTCAATACCTCTGTCAAGCTATGTGGCTAACTCAAGCAGTAGATTGTTTTTTATTATTAAAGTATCATTGATATACAGTCTTATGATGGTTTCAAATACATAACACAGCGGTTCACCGTTTACGCATATTATCAAGTTGTCACCCCCTTCAGTGCAGTCACTGTCCATCAATGTAGTAAGATGTTACAGAGTCATTAACTGTATTCTCTGTGCTGTACTTGACCTACCTGTATTGTGATTGTGAATTACTGTACCCCTTAATTCCCATCTCCCTTCCTCCCCCTCCACTCTCTCAAACCCCTCCCCTTTGATAACCAGTAGTTCCTTCTCCGTGTCCGCAGTCTACTGCTATTTTGTTCCTTCAGTTTTGCTTTGTTTTTATATTCTACAAATAAGTGAAATCATATGATATTTAGGTTTCTCCACCTGGCTTATTTCACTGAGCATAATACCCTCTAGACCCATCCATGTCATTGCAAATGGGAGGATTTCTTTTCTTTTTATGGTTGAATAATATTCCTCTGTGTATATGTACCATATCTTTATCCATTCATCTATGAAGGACACTTAGGTTGCTTCCATATCTTGGCACTGTAAATAGTGCAGTGATAAACATAGGAGTACAAGTGCCAGATTTTTTATACTCTCATGAAATCCACATGAACTTCAGAGTTGTGTCAGCTTCTCCTTTGTTCTCACTCCACCCAGGTGCATGGTGTTTGGGATTCACACTACCTCATGGAATGTTAGAAGACTTAACCTACAACCATTGCCTTCAAAATTGCTTCAAAAAATCAGTTAAAATAGAAATCCCCTAGATCAAATACAAAGCTGAATTTTTAAGTATATTTATCATATTTGTATTCTTGATTTGTCTTTGAAGCTTTTTTTGAATCTACATCCCACTTTCAGTGGAAATTCTCTAAACTATTTGTACATGAGCTTAAGTAATAACGTACAAAGAGAAAAGAAAGCACTGGTGTTCTCAGCAGGCCAATCTCTCTGGATGCTGTCAATTCCCTTCTGTACAAGTCACCTGTATTTACAAGGGGAGAGACTGAGCAGATATTTCTTGGTGCCACTATATTTATACTCCTTTTTCTTAAATTCTTTCACTAGAGAAATAAAGAAGCTTTACAGTAAACTTCATCTCAGTACAATGAAAAAACGTTCACCAAAATCTAATGTTTCTGGTTGTTAAAATAATTTGAGGCATTATATCTGATGAATGCATTTGGAATTGTATTCTAGTTATTTCTGCCAGTCCCGTCATAAAACGAGGTAATGAAAGGAAAAGACTGAATTTTTTTTTTAGCTTAAATGATAAAATATGTTTTTTCAGATATTATGGTGGCCAATTTTTTCTGATTAATATTTACACTTCAAACGCCTTTCAGGCTAATCTCTTTGTTATGTATCTCTTCCTGGCTTCTATCACATTTATTTCAGAACCTAGGAGCATTCCATACTAAATCTGTAGCTGGAGCGAGAGGCCAAGGGAAAGAGATTGCTCTTCCCTTCATTTCTAGACATTGTCATTTACTGTTTTGTTTTTGTTTTTTCTAATCACATTTCTTCACTTTTTTTTCAGTCTGATAGTAACCTTTTTCTCTTGCATTTTAATTTCTCTTCTATCTTAATTTTTTTGCATACTATAACTGTATTTCTTAGCAATCTGTCTGTGCCTTCTCTAAGAATGTCTCTATTCCCAACCCTCCATTTACTCTTTTGAAAAGAACAGCCCTGTGTATACAATCATCTCCCATTTTTAGGCTTATATTTGGAGAGATATTATAGGACTGTACTACTGAGGTGATTATTTTTGAGATGCCTGAATTATTGTCTAGGAAGTGGATGGAGGAGCATCATGTAACCTACAAACCCCTGCAAGTCATTAAATCCTTTGGAGTGGTTCAAATTCCCTGAGCAGAAATTTGTTTTCTTTTAAGAAACAGTTGCTGCTCATGAGTCCTGGTGTAAAGTGACTCCTTCGTGGTGTTTGTGGGCTCTTTGGGACCTTTATCATGAGATCATTCAAAATCAAGTACACTCGAATGATTATGTAAGTGTTTCCTCCATAAGGCTTTTAATTTATTTCCATTGTAAAGCAGCCTATTATGACAACTGACTTTTTAAAAATTTTGCATCCTTCCCTTTTGTAATCCTCTAAAGCCTTTTTGCCCATCCATACACACGTTCTTGGTTATTGTTTTTGGATTTAGTTGCATTTCATTTAAATGCAATGACATTCATCCTTGTTCTTCTTTACTGTTTATGTCATGGAATAAAATAATTTAAAAATCAGTTTAGAAAACTTTGGCCCTCCTGTGTTGTGAAGTTTAGTCAAAGAAAACATATCCAATACATTCCTTTGAGTTTGGAACATGTCAACCTAACATCTTTTGTCTGATCCTGGACTTGACCTATTTCCTTCAAGTGGAATGTCACAGTTTAAACCTCTTTTGAATGTTGTTCCTAAACCTGAATGAGATGCAAATTTTTAAAGCGCATCTTTTTCAACAAGCCCTGATGAGCTGAAATCATGATTTGAGGAAAAACAAGAGGGTAAAAATCTGCTTCATATGTCTTTGCCTATGTTTTTGGCGATTGTAAATTGCAGATAGACTTGATTTAGCTATAGTTTTACTCT